TCTGTAATTTGTAGCAATCCTTTTTCATGTGCCCCTTCTTCGTGCAGAAGTTACAAATCTGATTGTTAAACTTAGACTTCGATCTGCCCCTTCCAGAACCACCATGAGCAACAAGGACTTTTCCTTCTCTGGCCTCAGACGCCAGATACTTCATCTTATCTTTTTTAAAAAAAAAGCATCATACACATTCTCTATAGTGAGAGTATCACGACTATACAAGATCGTGTTTCTAAATAAAGAAAATGAAGTGGATAACGAAAACAATAGGATCAAGGCTAAATCTTCTTCACATACTTCACTTCCAAAGTTTCCAAATCAACGACTATCTCTTTAAATACAGCCGGCGATCTTCCAATGATGCTTATTCTACCATTCGATGAGAGTATAAACGTTGCTTGAGATGCAACTTGCTTGTCAGATTTTTAGTCATGTACAATTGCTCCAACTTCAACCATAAAGCAGCTGCTAAAACCTCCTTCAAAACGTCTTGAGAATGGTATTCAATAGATGAAGATAAATATGAGAAACTGTCTTCTCATCGTTCCGTAATTTCTCCTCCACGGTCAAAGTTGGGGCATCTTGTCAATTCTCAACAATGCATCATCTAAATCCTGCCGTGCGAGTACTGCACGCATCTTAACCACCATAGCGAAATCTAATGCTCCGATCCAAAAATGAAATATCATACTTCATAGAAGTTATCACGAACAAAAAATCTCGAATAAATCAAATCATGCGCTTTTGCAGAACTACTGAACCTAGGTTCTGTTACCATTTGTTGTGTTAATTATGTTTAGAATCTCTTATACCATTTGTTGAAAATTCAAGGATCATGTATTGCTCGATACCACTTGATATGAAATCAACCACCAAATTGAGATGTTGAAGTTATATGACACAATAATGAAGTATTTGATCACAAGTAAAAGAATAAAAGAATACAAGAAAATATGGTAGAGGAATTAAGAGATTTTATTGCACCACAAATAATGAAGATGAAAAAATATTACAGTAATCCTAAAAGCAAGTAATCACTTTTCTCATACTATAAAATTGTATAGAAGAACTTAATATTTATAGGGAACATGTAGGAGGTATCTAAACCCTCCTAATAGAGTTGTTGATAAAGTAGGATACCAATATATCGAATCTAGAATGAAAAAAAAAAAGGAAAAACGCAAAAATCCAGAACAGCCTCTGGGCGCCTCCATGTTGGGGCCGACGCTACGACGCCCGAGGCAAAATACCAAACAGGGGCTCCAGCGTCGAACGTTCTGCCCTTTGTCCTTTTTTCTTTTCAAGTTGTTTCTTCATCTCAAAGTACTTTTCCAAACCAAACTCTCAATAGGACTTCCAAATAGAATTTCAAGTTGAATAAGACTCCAAAAACATTCCAAACTGAATTTATTTTGACACACTTCAATTAGAATTTTTCAATTATTTCAACAAAAAATTCGAATCACACCCAAATTCTAACAATGTATTTTAAGTTTTTAGTTAAACTATCCCTGTGAAGTGATATTTTTTTTTTACTTATTGCTCATAATTAATTAAAATCTATAATTGTGTTGAAACTACATTAGAATATAAATTCCAAGTCAATATGCGTTTGCATATCTATAGGGGGTAGATAGCCTTTAGATTTAAAAACAAGTATTATGAAAATAAAACTTTAAAAAAATTGGAACAAGTTTTTCTGAATGCGTAATTGAATTTTCATAGCCGAACTTTGAAAATTAAAAAATGGCAATGGATTTTTTTGATGGACAGAAACCTAGAATAAAACAAGATAAATTTTATCCTACAAGTTTTCCACTAATTTTGTGGAGATTCTTCCCTCATTAATTTAATAACTAAGGTGTACTAAAAAATAAAATTGAAGGAATTTTTGAGTGGAAGTTTATTTCTTTATAAGCTGATTAAATTTTTTTTTTTTTTTGTTAAATTATCCACGTGTCGTTATTTATTTTTTCTTATTGCTTACAAGTCATTAAAATGTATAAATATGTTGAAACTACATTAAAATATAAATTTCAAGTCAAAATGCGTCTATAGGGGGTAGATAGCGCTTGGAGTTAAAAACAAGTGCTATGAAAGTGAAACGATGAAAAAATTTGCAACAAGTTTTTCCGGACGCATAATTGAAATTTCATAGCCAAGTTTTGAGAATTAAATAACAGCGGTTGATTTTTTTGACAGAAAAACCTAGACCAAAACTGAGACAAATTTTATCGTGCAGGTTTTCCGCTGATTTTATCGAGATATTCTTTCCTCAATAATTTCACAACTAAGTTGTAATAAAAAATAATAATTGAAGGAATTGTTTTATTGGATGTTTATATCTTTATAAGCTGAATTAATTTCTTTGTTAAACTATACACGTGTCGTGATTTTTATTTATTTTTTACTTGCTGCACATAATTCATTAAAGTAATAAAATCTATAGTTGTGTTGAAAGTACATTAAAATATAAATTCCAAGTCAATATGCAATTGCAAACCTCTAGGGCATGGATAAAGATTTAAAAACAAGTACTATGAAAGTAAAACGTTGAAAAAGTTTGCGATAAGTTTTTTCGAATGCATAATTAAAATTTCGTAGCAAATTTTTTTAAATTATAAATAATAGCAATGTATTTTTTGATGGACAGAAACCAAGGACAAAACTTAGACAAATAGTTCAATAAAAATGAAACATCATTTTTTTTTGCCAAGTTGTCTCGAATAAATCATTAAAATTTCGTAGCCAAATTTACAAAATTAAATAATAGAAATGGAATTCGGCGATGGCCAGAAACTCTCTCCAAAACGGAGATAAATTTTATCCTTCGAGTTTTCGTGTGATTTTATTGAGATATTGTTCCCTCGTTAATTCCGTAACTGAGGTGTATTAAAAAAAATTAAGTGAAAGATTATTTAGTGGAATTTTATCTCATAGAAGCTGATTTAAAGATTTCATAAATTATCCATTTTTAATGAATTTCTTTTTTTTTTTTGATCAAATTCACAAAAATCTATAGCTATATACGTCGAAACTTCATTAAAATACAAGTTCGATGTCAAAATCTGTGTCCATATCTATAGAGGTACCTAAATTAGAATTAAATACAAGTACTGTGAAAGCATAACTTGCTAGTGTATAGGTCTAGGAAATTGTATGGGTGGTATACTTAATTGTTTGGTGTGGAAAAAGAAGGTTCAATAGGAAACATACCTTTTATTTGTTAGATATAAAGATTTACAAAAAAAAAATAAAAAATTGCATTTACTCTTGAATCAAACTTCAAAGTAGCATTATAAATAAAAATATATTTGCAAAAGCTAGTTCTATTATCAATAAAATTCATTCATGAAAATTGCCTTTAGTCTAAGATTTTTGTTTTTCTTTCAAACTAGATTTGATTCATAGAGATGTGTATAACCGTTTTAATTCACTCATATATGTAGCGTGGAATTGGCTATCAACTTAAACTCAAGTTTTGACTCGCCAACTTGTACAATCACGCAAGATTGGATTCTTACATGATGAAAACTATTATTTTGATCGTTAAAAAATTAAGCTCATGTTTAATACACATTCTTTCAAAATTCATTTTCAATCACATTTTTTCAGTAAAATAATATTTTCTATCACATCAATAATTTTCCCTTACTTTTTAACTACATATTTTTCATCATATCCATCAAACACATCCTAAAATTGCTTTAAAATTATTATTATGCCGTTACTATAATTAAAGAATAAAATACAAAAAGGGAAAATAAAATCATTTTACACTTTCGCCCTAATTCACTGAAATCTGCCGCTATAAAAGCACTAGTGTGCGCGAGCGCACACATATGAACTCCATAGCTCTTAGTTTCTCTCTTTGAAATAACAAAAAAAATAATGGGTTTCATTCATTTTCTCACTTTCTACTGCATACTTAACTTTAATTCATTTTTGTCCACTGCAAGTTCTGATAACAGCAATCTGGAAATATATATTGTTAATGTTGAGTTGCCTAATGGTATCAGCCCAACTTTGAACAGTTTTTCAGATGATTTGCATAAATGGTATCAAACATTTTTGCCCACAACCACAGCAAGTTCAATGGAGGAGTCCCGCATGATTTATTCCTACCATCACGTATTTAAAGGTTTTGCAGCTAAATTGTCACCTGAGGAAGTGAAAGCAATGGAAAAGGTCCCAGGATTCATCTCAGCCCGACCACAAAAAGTTGTATCTTTACATACAACCCATTCTCCCAGCTTCTTGGGGTTGAACCAAAATATGGGGTTCTGGAAAGATTCCAATTATGGTAAAGGTGTGATTATTGGAGTGTTAGACAGCGGAATAATCCCCAACCACCCTTCTTTTAGCGACAAAGGAATGCCTCCGCCTCCTTCTAAGTGGAAGGGCCAATGTGAATTTAAATTCCAGGCATGTAACAATAAGTTGATAGGAGCAAGATATTTTACAATTGGAAATGGGACCCCGTTGGACGAGGATGGCCATGGCACACACACAGCAAGCACTGCTGCCGGGAATTTTGTGCAAGACGCGAATTTGTTTGGCAATGCAAATGGCACGGCCGTGGGGATAGCACCTTTTGCTCACTTGGCTATATATAAAGTTTGTTTAGATAATTGTTTAGAAAGTGACATATTGGCTGGAATGGATGCTGCTATTGATGATGGGGTGGATGTGCTCTCTCTTTCCCTTGGCGGTCCGGCTAGAAATTTCGACGACGAAATCATTGCAGTGGGTGCATTTAGTGCAATTGAAAAGGGCATTTTTGTGAGCTGTTCAGCAGGGAATAGTGGGCCTAGGCTAGGTACTATGGGAAATGGTGCGCCATGGATACTTACAGTTGGTGCAAGCACCATTAACAGAAAAATTAGAGTAACTGCTCTGCTGGGTAACAACGAAAAGATAGACGGAGAGTCAATTTTTCAACCTAACAATTTCGCTCCAAAGCAATTGTCTCTCATCTACCCTGGATCAAGGGTTAGAGATCCATTTTGTACACCAGCATCTCTAGCAAACATCAATGTCAGAGGAAAAATAGTGTTATGCGAAATAGGAGGAAATATAGGAAGAATTGCGAAAGGGCAAGCAGTTAGGAATGCTGGTGGTGCCGCCATGATTCTCATGAACCAGGAGCCCCAAGGTTACACTCTAAGTGTAGGGGCTCATGTTCTTCCAACAACACATATCAGTTATGCTGATGGATTAAAACTGAAAGCTTACATGAGATCAACGACTAATCCAACAGCTTCAATTTCTTTTGAAGGAACTATCATTGGAGATGATCGAGCTCCAATGGTTGCTTCTTTTTCAAGCAGAGGTCCTAATCAGCCAAGTCGTGGAATCTTGAAACCGGACATTATCGGCCCTGGTGTAAACATTCTTGCAGCCTGGGATGTTTCTGTCGAGAATATCAACACCAAATCTACATTCAACATAATTTCTGGAACTTCAATGGCTTGTCCTCACCTCAGTGGCATTGCAGCATTGCTAAAAAATGCACACCCAGATTGGTCTCCTGCAGCGATTAAGTCCGCAATCATGACTACTTCTAGTCTTGTGAACCTCGCCAATAACCCAATTGAGGACCAAACTCTGCAGCCTGCCAACTTTTTCGCCATTGGTTCTGGTCATGTTAACCCATCAAAATCAACTGATCCAGGATTGATCTATGACATTCAACCTGAAGAGTATATTCCTTACTTGTGCGGTTTGAATTACACGAACCAACAGGTCAGAATCATTACGAATCGGGCTATTAATTGCTCAAAAATATCCCATATACCTGAATCCCAGCTGAACTACCCTTCATTTTCTATCTTTCTTGGATCTACAAAACAGACATATTCCAGGACAGTTACAAACGTTGGTGATGCCAATTCAGTTTACTCTGTCAAAATCAATCTTCCCCAAGATACATATTTAAGTGTAGACCCCAGTACACTTCGATTTTCTAGGTTGAACCAGAAAATGACATATAATGTGACATTTAGTCGATTGGCCTCCGCCAGAAGCCGTACAACTGCTCAGGGATTTCTTACATGGACTTCTTCTAAGTACTCTGTGAGGAGTCCAATCGTTGTTTTCCATTAATGAAAAGGTGTCTCCCATGAATTTGAAATAAGGTGATTGTAATTACAAGAATAATCAAGCTTGTCCTCATATTCAATAAAAAAGGGAATAAGCAAGTTTTTCCTCATCTTCAATAAAAAAGAAAAACATTAGCTCCTCTCTTATTGTTTTCATAATTCACTACTGTTGTAGGGGCTCATGTGATGAGATCCCAAAACCCTATGTAATTTTCAATCTGCTTCCAGGAAATGATAAAATTCTAGAATAAAAACTACATAACTTGAAGGCTTCATTGAGAAATTCAATTTGATAGAGGTTCTTATTGTTTCCATTTGCAATATTTTGTGTTTGAATCTTTAANNCAATATTTTGTGTTTGAATCTTTAAACTATTAAACTATTTTTTGAAGAAAACATTATTTACCAATTTTGTTATGCAAATTGTTGGTTATCAGAGTGAAACGACTCTCACACATGGAAATTAAAGAAGTCTGAAAATTGGTAATGTAGTTCGAAATCACAAGATATCATGATAAGTAGTAAAGTGTAAGAGTTTGATCTTGCAAAGACCGATTTATCAACTATCAACCTAAGTAATTGTAGAGTAATGTACAATGATTATTGTAACTACAATACGGAAACATAAATTCTCAAAGTGTAAAAACGGAACCACATAACTCAAATCTTCTTCAACCTCGCCACCAATGTGTCTTGTGATGTTGAGCTCAAATTTGTGTCATGCTGGATCATGCATCGTTATTCACGGGAATGTCAGTAGATATACTGAGAAAGGAATCCGCCGAAGAACAAGTCTCTTCCACTTAGCTACCTCTATATGCTTTCTCTATTTTGTTTTGCCAAGTCCTCAAGACCAATTAACATGTGCCAAGTGGATTGAAGTGATTCACCTCAAAAATTTTCACATTGGATCACATATAATCCACCTTTGAATTCTCAGGTTACAAGTGATATCCTTCAGTGTAGTCTTATTTCATCATCATCGCTCACTCCAACTCAGTACCTACACAAAAATTAATCATTATCAATATTCAATATTAATAAACATTTGCTGAACTTACCAACGGCAAGTACTTTTGTTTCAGTATATACAAGGTTGTCATTAGTTGTAATTTTAAGCAGTATAAAATCACTAGAAGCTAACTTCTCCCTAATGAAGTTATATTTCACTCAATATTCTTACAATGTTCATGATAAATAGGATTTGTACACAATATCAATGAACTTTAACTATCAGTAAAAATCATAGCATTATCATTCAAGAAGTTTAATTTACATAGAATGTATTTCAGCCACATGCATTCTTTTATAGCTTCAGTTAATACAATACATTATGCTTCGGTGCTAGAAAGTGTGTCAACATCATAGAAACAAACAAAATACCAAAATCGCTCTGATACCAATTGTTGAGAATCTGAGCCGGATAATTAAAGAACGAGAAAAAGAGCAATATAAAGAACATTGGATCACACAACAACACAAGATTTATGTGGAATAAGAGAATAATTTTATATACCAAAAAACTAAAATTATCTTACAACATTTGATACTCTCAATCTAAATCTAAATAATTCTCTCAAGTTTCTAATTTATAAAACAACGATCTAATTGTTATGCTGAGTCTATGAAGAGCCTACACCACGTAGAGTATATATATAGGAACTAATTACAAGTGTTTTAGCTGAAATACAACTCAAAAAATGAGTCAGAATTGAAAAATGATTTCCGCCTGGATAACACTACCTCTCAACTGCATGGTGGGCAGAAGCTTCATCCTTCGAGCGAAACGCTGGTGCCAAACGGACACCAACTCTTTATTCCATTTTTCACCCTCGATACTCAAATGTCAAAACTAGCAGTCAGCTAGACAAATTGCGATGACAATTTATCCACTAAAACTCCAAAAACCAAGTCTTCAATTATCCAAAATCTTTTTACCAATCAAACTTCCAATCATTGATGAGCTTTGATCCATTTTTCAACCGAACTTCCAAATCAAGAGGATTCTTATTCTTTTTATCAATTTACCAATCCAGACCTAATCCCTTAATCCTAGTAGGAATTTGAATCAACACTAAAAATCTCCATCTCGACACAAATTCAAATGCAATAAATTATTCTTTACTCTTCAAGTCATTCTCCGTCTCTTCCATGATGCCCCTTCCAAGCACATCATGTCCTTGTTGGGTATACTCAGCAACTGTGATCTAAATCCAAACCCGAATACCAGTAGAACTACCTTGCAAGCTAAAGTTGACTACAAGTTCTGGCCGAGTCACTAAACCTGCTCGAATTGCCATAAGCACTTTCAACTCCACCCGAGTTGTCAAACTTGATCTAATCACCACGATCAATATGAACAATAAGATTACAACTAGCTCCACTTGAACTATTATTGATCAATAAGATTACAACTAGCTCCACTTGAACTACTGGAAGATTCCCAATATCATTACTCGAATCATCACGAGCAACCCGATTATAACCAACTCTACCTGAGTTGCCGCTTCTCAAACCATAAGCTGCAACTGCTTCTACAGTAACCGTTGAACCTTTCAAAGCATATGATTGAGATTTGCACCCTTGCTAACTTTCAGAACTCCACCTCAACCTGTATACCTGTACCCTTTTGAATCAAGAATATTGAAGGAGATAATATTTCTATTAAACTTGGAACATGTCTAATAAACTAAGTTTCATGACCATCCTATCAAACATCTAGATTCTAACCTACTTTTTCCACATTGTGGGTATAGTCATCCCCCAAGTATACTTTTCTAGAATTAACATCTCTGTAGTTATAGGACACATATGAACAATGTCACCTGAGTTTATAATACACTCATTAGCAAAATCAATATTAGACACCTTCATAACATGTATTTTATCATGGGCACGATCTACATCAGTGTCAAAATCTCTTGACATGGTCATAACATGTAGACAATCAAGGAAAGTGCCTACATGAACTAAGTTTTGATCATCACTCTTATGTGGTATCAATTTCCTCTTAAGGTCATTATAGTCTCTTTTGAAATGTCCTAACTTACCACAATAGAAATACTACACTTATCTCTAGACTTAGACATACCCTTCGATTTTCCTCGACCCTTCTTACTTTGGAAGTAGATCTCTCCCGTCTCATTATTCCATCTAACAAACAAACTCTCTTCTCTCGAGCTACCCCTCAAGTCTTTATTAAACTCTAGCTCCCTTCCCTTCAAAGCATTAGTTGCAATATCTTGTGTTAGAGAATCCCTAGCATACGTGATGACATTCCCAACATCTTTATAGGGTTCGGGCATAGCATTCAAAAGTATGACGGGTAGATACTCATCATCAAATCTCTGGTCATCGTGGGCCAAACACTTGACGGGTCTATTTAAGTCACCTAAATTGGATTCAAGATCCTTTCATAGGGTTCAGCTTAAAATTGAAAAGTTTTTGAAGCAAATGAATCTTGTTTGGAAATTTTTTTTCCAAAAATAACTTAACAAGTGCTTCTCAATTTTATTTTTTTTTTTTTGACAATTTTATGTTGTTCAACTTGTCCTAGCACATCATCAAATAAATGCAACATAATAGCATTATGTGCAATTTTATTCATCTAGCAATTTCATCCGATTTAGCTTTTAGCGTATCATGAAGTTTTTCCGGGTCGTCAAGAGCTTTAGAAACTCTTTGCTTAATTAAAATATTTTTCATTTTTTGCTTCTAAATGAAGCAATCTTCATTACCATTGAACTATGATAATTCACCTTCAGAGGTCATTACCAAATAATGTTTTTTCGAAAAGATTTTAATCAAAGTATTTACCCACACACAAATGAAAGTTTAAACCAATTTATATATAAAAACTTTTTAAGATGACATAAACGATGATATCACAACAAGTAACACATAGATAATATCACAAAATTCTAATATCACAAATTATATAGTAGCAAATAATCACAATTGTAAATTTGAGAGGGTATTAAAATGTGCAGACTGAACTAACCAATCTGTAAGTTCGTATTTTAAGGAGAGATGCAAGTTTTTATCGATCTAGGGCCACCACTAATTGCCCTAAATCATCCAATAGCTGTTGCAACCACGGAAAACACCACTGAGCCAGCAACAAAAAAAGTTTCTCTGATTTTCCTTTTCTACCCAAAGCTACATTTGCTTCAACAGTGCACCAAAATAAAGTACAACACCACCGAAGGTCAGAAATTGCTCAAAGAACAAACTCTTTTTTTCACAGCTTCCAGAATCAGTCTCACGTGCTCTCACGTGTCGGCTCCTTTTGTATGGGTGTGTCTCACGCACCACCTGTTCCACAGGTAAGTATGCTGCACACGCTGCACCGTCGACTTATGCCGGTCTTTTGGAGTCTGGTGGTGGTTCTCGTTCATCCACCAAATGCGTGGGTCCTCAGGAATATGGGTTTGAAGTTTCAGTTAAACTTGTTTTCAAACAAAATCGAACCCCTTCAACCTCCAATCCAATTTTCATGTTCTTGTAACACTTTTTACCATTATTCTAAGCTCTGATACCATTTGTAGAGTTTATAATGTAGTGTACAATGATGATTACAATTACAATGCAAAAACATATATTCTCAAAGTGTAAAAACTGAACCAACCGACGCAAATCTTCTTCAACCTCACCACCAATTCGTCTTGTGATGTTGAGATCAAATTTATGCTACACTGAATCATGCACCGTCGTACACGGAAATGACAATGTATATATCGAGAAAGGAATCCATTGGAGGCAAAGTCTCTCCCACTTAGCTACCTTTCTATGCTTTCTTTCTATTGTTTTTGCCAAGTCCTCAACACCAATTAACTTTTGCCAAGTGAATTTAAGTGATCCACATCACAGTAATGCTAACCAATTTTTTGAACTGAAACTAAAATGAACACGGAATTATTTTGTGATTTAAACTAAACTAAAAATTAAACTAAGAATAATGCTAATGTGTTGGACAGTCCAATTTTAGAATTAATTCGATTGTCT